TCACGACAGTCGCCGAACTCGAGCGCGAAGGGCTACATGTTCCGTCGGAGGTCTGGCAGCGACTGCAATCATTGAAGCGCACAGGATTCACCACATAGCAATTGAATGGACACGCGTTCACAATGTTCTCACGCACTAATGCCAAATCGCACACTCATGGTACTTTGTACACATGCACGGCCCGAGCATCCTAAGCCGATCACGGGACACCTCTCCGTCCTGTTGAAATAGTTGCTCGATCAATTAGTTTGGTCACTGATAACCTTTGGTCTGCCCCCAAGCCCGTGGGGAACAGGTAGATGGGAAGCCCGCGGTCTCCACCGGCCGACACATTGAGAATGTGATGAAGAATGTGATGAAGAAGGGACGAATGGATGAAGAACGACGGAACTATACGACATGAATTGGACGAGAAGGTGATGGTGGAAGAGAAGACGGCACGACGATGGCTGCCGTTGCGGACTCTCACACTCCTCGGGGCCGAGGTGCAATCGTGCTTCTGAATGCCATTATTGTTGGATTTCCTCGGTTGGCGAAGCCGCGGGAGAACCTACCTTCGGTTTCTCCGAAGGGCCGTACTTCTGCGCCCAAAAAAAACGACTGCAAACTCCAGTGCTGCGCACCCGCATGCACTGGGATGTTCCGCAGGCGGCTTGCCCAGGCCAATGCGCAGGCACTCAGTTGCTGTTCGCTGAGCCTTGTTCCGCACCACTGTGGACCGACGTTTGGAGGGACACGATCGACAACCAGAGGCGCGCCCCTCAATCTGTCGTCGACGGCACGGGGGTGGTTCGCAGAGAGGTGGGCGGTCTTCTTCGGTGCAGGCGTGAAGCTGACCATCGGGAACGTTGGACGCGATGCGGGGGGGCGTCAATTGTTGGGCCCTCACTCGAGCCTTCGCGGGGGTTCGCGGCTGCCGTGCACGGCGGTGGTTCTCTCCCTTCGCCTTCAGGCCCACACCGAACTCAGGGGAGGCTTTTCTAAGGCGTGAGCCGGCTGCGAGCGAGGGGGGGGGGAGTGAGAAGGAGAAGGCCTTCTCAGAAGGCAGAGTGACTTCTCATAAGCCCTGGGGCCTTCTGAGAAGTGCTCTATCCTCGGGGAAGACTTGGAGAACTTCTCAGACGGCCAAGGGGCTTCCGAGCCCTCTGATAAGGCCTTCTCCTTCTCACTTCTCCCCCTCGCTCGCCACAGAATGAACGTAAGTTCTCGGAGCTCCGCGTGGATTTCTTGGATCGGCGCTCGGAGCACGCCAGGGGGTGGCGCCGGAGGCGCCGCCACGGGGGACAGGCGCCGATCCAATAACTCCTCGCGGAACTCCGAGAACTTCTGTTGATGCAGGTTTTGAATGACGTTTCCCTGATCCCGATCGCAATCCCCATCCCGATCTCCAACCTCCCACCACTTCAATTGGGTAGCTGCCCCCGACGGGAAATGCTTATATCCCGACCTAGGGAGGTAAATCGGCCTCCTCCTCCTCTATTCCTCCTCCCTCTCCTCCTCCTCCTCGCCACTCCTCCTCCTCCTCCTCTTCCTCCTCCTCCTCCTCCTCCTCTCCTCCTCCCCTCCCCTCATCCTGCTCCTCCTACCCCCCTCCTCCTCCTCCTCCTCATCCTCCCTCCTCCTCATCCTCCTGCTCCTCCTCCTCCTCCTCTGCTCCTCCTCCTCCTCCTCATCTCCATCCTCCTCCTCTCCTCCTTTTCCTCCTACCTTTTCCTCCTTCCTCCTCCTCCTTCCTCCTCCTCCTCCCCCTCCCTCCCCCTCCCACTCCCCCTCCCACCTTTCCCCTTTCCCCTCCCCCTCCCCCACCTTCTCCCCCTTCACTCCCCCCCCCTCTCCCCCCACCCCCCTCCCCTTTTCCCCTCCCCTCCCCCTCCCCTCCCTTTACACTTACTTCTGCACTGCTGCTGTATATACTCTCCCTCTTCCCCTGATGGCGTCCGGGTGATGGCCGCGCACCCTCCGCGTACTGTTCTTTTACACACAGGATGCCTGGGAAATCCCGGGAAACGACTCTCGCTGAGGCGCCGGCGTCATTTTTTCCCAAAAATCTGCTCTCGTTGAGGCGCCGGCCTCATTTCTGCTCCCGAATCGTTCCGAATCGTGCTCCCGCTGCAGCGTGGGCCTCATTTTCGGATCGGTGTTTGGCCTCCGTCGTTCAGGATGGCGTTCTCGCCCCACCGCGGGCTTCTTTCTCGCGCGCCCATCCGCCCGCCACAACCGCGCCGCCCGCACCGCCACCTACCACCACCACACAACCAGCACCAGCACCAGCACCAGCACAGCACCAGCACCCGCCACCTGCACCAGCACCGAGCTCCAGCACCAGCACTAGTTATACCAACACCTGCCACCACCAGCACACCAGCACAGCACCAGCACAGCACCAGCACCTGCAACCAGCACCTGCAGCAGCTCCAAGCACCAGCACCAGACCAGCCACCTTGCACCACGTACCAACACCACAACCAGCACCTCCACCAGCACCAGCACCACCACCAGCACGAGCACCAGCACCAGCACCAGCACCAGCACCACCACCACCACACCACAACCACGCACACACGCACGCACGCACGCACGCACGTGCACCACCACCCACTACGCACGCGCGCGCGGAGCCACAGGTCCGCTTCGACACGCGTCCGCGGATAGAGAAAATCAGCGCCATGGTAAGGGATGGGAGGGAGGGGTAGGACGTCAGATATGACGCGAGCGCACCTTGCTTGCCCCTTCCCCCTCTCTCCCCTCCCCCCCCCTCCCTCCGCCTCTCCCTCCGCCTACCTCCTCGTCCTCGTCATCCGTCCTACCCTCCACCTCCTACTCTCTCCGTCCTCCCCTTTTCCTCCTCCTTTTCCGCCTCTCTCTTCACTCCTCCTCCTTTTCCTCCTCCTCTTTTTCCCTCCTCCTTTTCCTCTTACTCCTCCTCCTCCTCCCTTCCTCCTCATCTCTTCTCCTCCTTTTTCCTCCTCTCCTCCTCCTCCTCCTCCTCCTGTTCCTCCTCCTTTTCCTCCTCCCTGTTACTCCCTCCTTCCTCCCTCCTCCTTCTCCTCCTCCTGTTCCCTCCTCCTTATTCCTCCATCCTTTCCCTCCGTCTCCTCCTCCCTTTCCTCCTCCTTCCCTCCCCTTCGCTCTACCCTCCCCCGTCCCCCTCCCCTCTCCCTCTCCATTTTCTCCCCTCCCCCTCCTCTCCCCCCTCCTCTTCCTCCTCCTCCTCCTCTTCCTCCTCCTCCTCCTCCTCCTCCTCCTCCTCCTCCTCCTCCTCCTCCTCCTCCTCCTCATTGTCGTCCTAACCCCGCCGCCCACGCCGGCTCGGGCCCGCGTCCTCGTCGGCGCTGGTCAGGCAACGCGGGCTTGGGTACAGCGCGGTCTCCCGGACGAGCCTGTGCCTCTTGCCCACCTGGAGGGGGGCGGCTGGAGGGAGGGGGGATGAGGCAAGGGAGGAATGGTGGGGGATAGCGGAGGGAGGAGGATGTGGGAGGAGAGGAGGGGATGGGAGGAGTGGGGTGAGGAGGAGGAGGAGGAGGAGAAGAGGAGGAGGAGGAGCATGCGGATGACAACCACAAGGTGCGTGGTGAGGAGGAGGGTGGAGGGAGGACGGGGGAGGACGAGGACGAGGGACGAGCGTGACACCAACATGCATCGCTTGTACGCCTTCCCGTGACCATGTCCCATCTCCATGAGACCCTGCGGGCATTCCTCGCCACTGCGTGCGACGCCGCCCGCTTGAAGCACGGGGCAGCCCAGGCCTGCCATCCACGCGATCCCCACTGTGAACAACTACTCGGCGCGGAGATCTTCACGTGTGCATCTAATCGTCTGGCACTTCCTGCAATGGGCGACTGCGTGCGACAGACTATCAGCCCGTTCCATCTCGGCGACAACGGGGCCCTGAGTGAAGAGGAAGTGGAGGTGCAGGCGAGCGACTCGCTCGAGACATCCTCGCAATCTGGTATGAAAGCAGAGGGGTCGGAGCTGCAAAACAAGCGCCTCCCCGAACAACCCCCCACTGCTTTTGCGAACACGCGAGTGTCCTACCCTGGAGGGCTCCCCGCTTGGGGACTAAAGTAAGCGCCTCGCGCGAGGCATCCCCGCAATCATGGAAACAGGAGTCGGGGGCTCCAAACGGGCGCTTCGATCGAGACATCTCGCAATCTAGCGAGCCCGTCCAAGATCCCCTGGCGGTTTTCCCTTGGAGTGGTCAAGCAAGCGCCTTGCTCGAGACACCCTCTCAATATGCTCTGAACGCAGAGGAATCGGAGGATTCAAACGGGCGCCTCGGTCGAGACATCCCCGCAAATCTGGCTGTGAGAACAGGAGTATTCGCAAGAAGACCAACTTCCATCGTTGTAGCTGTCGGAACCGTTTCGGACTACGGCTTTGCGGCGCTATGACGCGAGCCACACGTTGAACACTACGCCCCGCCATCATTGTAGTTGTTAGGAAATCAAGGGGAACGTGCACAGAGCTGATGCCAGGAGCCGCATGTTGACAACACGCCGCCCTCCAGCGTTCTACCTGTTGGATGCGATTGAGGCGAATGTGTGCGGCACCAGGGCGAGAGCCACGTTGGGAAAACCATCCGCCATGCATCCAAGTGGCTGCTGGAAGCGTGCAGGATTCTCCCCTCACCTTGCCGTCAATGTCTTTGACCTCTCCCCCGAGCTCGTCGTTTCTCCTTCTTCTCCTTCACATTATCCCTTTCCTCCCCCCCACCGTCCTTGCCGCACTCCTCTCTGTGCTCGTCCTGATGATCCTCCTCTTCCGAGTAGTAGTCGGGATCGTAGTAGTAGTAGTAGTAGTAGTAGTAGTAGTAGTCGTAGTAGTAGTAGTAGCAGTAGTAGTAGTAGTAGTAGTGGTAGTCGTAGTAGTAGTAGTAGTAGTAGTCGTAGTAGTAGCAGTACTATCAGTAGTAAACTAGCAACAACAGTAGTAAACGTAGTAGTAGTAGTAGTAGTAGTAGTAGTAGTAGTAGTCGTAGTCGTAGTAGTAGCAGAAGTGGTAGTAGTAGTGTTAGCAGTAGCAGTAGCAGTAGTAGTAGTAGTAGTAGTAGCAGCGATACTCGTAATACTGGTAACACTATAAAACGCAGTCGCCGACGTAGTAGTAGTAGACGCAGCAACCTCACTAGTAGCAGTAGTCGTAGTCGTAGTAGTAGAAGTAGTAGTAGTAGCAGTAGTAGTAGCAGTAGTAGTAGTAGTAGTAGTAGTAGTGGTAGTAGTAGTAGTAATAGTAGTAGTGGTAGTACTAGCAAAACTGGTAGTCACAGGAGTAGTGGTAGTTGTCAACTACGGAGAGCAGCAGTAGCAACCGTAGTAGCAGTACTAGTAGTAATAGTAGTAATAGTAGTAATAGTAGTAGTAGTAGTAGTAGTAAATGTAGTAGAAATACTAGTAATAGTAGTAGTAGTAGTAGTAGTAGTAGAAATGATAGTAATGATAGCAGTAGTAGTAGTAGTGGTAGTAGTAGTAGTAGCAGTAGTAGTAGTAGTAATAGTAGTAGTAGTAGTAGTGGTGTTGGTAGCAAAACTGGTAGTCATAGAAATAGCAGTGGTGGTAGCAGCAGTAGCAGCAGTAACAGTAGTAGTAGTAGTCGTAGTAGTAGTAGTAGTAGTGGTAGTAGTAGTCGTAGTAGTAGTCGTAGTAGTAGTCGTAGTAGTAGTAGCCGTAGTACCAGTAGTAGTAGTAGTAGTAGTAGCAGCAGTAGTAGTAGTAGTAGTCGTAGTAGTAGTATTAGTAGTAGTAGTAGTAATACTAGTAATTCTAGTAGTAATAGTAGTAGTAGTCGTGGTAGTAGTAGTAGTAATAGTAGTAGTAGTAGTAATAAAAGTGGTGGTAGTGGTAGTCGTAGCCGTAGTAGTCGTAGTAGTAGTGGTGATAATATTAGTGAAAGAAATACTACAAACGAATAGCGGTAGTAGTGGGATACGACGCGCCACAAATAACCCAGCGTAGTTCATCGAATGGCTGGCCACACCTCGCGTAGCAATGGCAGCAGCAATAGAGGCTGCAGCCGTAGTACTAGCAATGGTAGGTGTAGTAGTAATCGTGAAACCAGTAGTCGCCTGAGTAGTAGTAGTAGTAGTAGTAGTAGTAGTAGTAGTAGTAGTAGTAGTAGTAGTAGTAGTATCAGTAGTAGTGGTAGTCGTAGTAGTAGTAGTAGTAGTAGTAGCAGTCGTAGTAGTAGTAGTAGTAGTAGTAATAGTAGTAGTAGTGGTAGTAGTAGTCGTAGTAGTCGTAGTAGTACTAGTAGTAGTAGTAGTAGTAGTAGTAGTCGTCGTCGTCGTCGTCGTAGTAGTGGTAGTAGTGGTAGTAATAGTAGTAGTAGTCGCAGTAGTTGTAGTACTAGTAGTAGTAGTAATAGTAGTGGTAGTCGTGGTATTCGTATGAATGGTAGTAGTAACAACAATCGTAGTAGTAGTAGTAGTAGAAGCCGGAAGTAGCAATAGCAGCCGCATGAGGAGTAGTAGTAGTAGTGGAAGTAGTAGTAGTAGTAGTAGCAGTAATAATAATAGTAGTTGTAGTAGTAATAGTACTAGTAGTAGCACCTTTAGAATTACTACTACTAGTAGTAAAGGGGTGGCAGTAGTGGTGGTAGTAGCAGTAGTAGCGATCGTAAAAGTAGAGGTAACATAAAGGAGGTAGTAGTGGGAGTGGAAGCACCACGCAGCAACACGCCTAGTACATCGTACAACTAGTAGCACTCCGAGGGGCAGTGGTAGTAACAGTCGTAGCAGCCGTAATACAAGTAGTTGCAGTAGAAGCCGTGGTGGTAATAGTAGTAATCGTAGAAGTAGCAGTAGTAGTAGTAGTAGTAGTAGTAGTCGTAGTAGTAGTAGTAGTAGTAGTAGTAGTGGTGGTGGTGGTAGTAGTAGTAGTAGTAGTAGTAGTAGTAGTAGTAGTAGTAGCAAATAGCAATCGCAGTCGTAGCGGAAGTCGTGGTAGTAGCGGCAACGGTAGTAGTAGTAATAATAATAGTAGCCGTCGTAAAAGCAACAACACCAGTAATACTAGTAGCGGTAGTCGAAAACAACGAAGTTGTCGTAGCAGTAGTCGTAGTGGCATTGGTAGAACTAGTAGTAATCGTAGTCGCAATCGTCGTGGGAATAGTGGTAATCGTAAGAGTAAAACAAGAATTGCGGTAGTCGTAGTCGTTGTAATAGTACTAGAACTAATACTCGTGACTCGGGTCGCGATCGTAGTCGTAATTCTGGTGGTAGTCGTCGTAGTGGTGGCACTCGTGGTCGTAGTAGCAAAAACATTGGGGGTATCAATAATAATGGTTGTCACATAGTAATTGTGGCGAATGTGGTAATAGTACGTGTTAAGGGCAGAAGAAGTAGCAACCGCAATCGTACCAAACGGGCCGCTGCTCTTCGTAATAGCAGTAGAAGTCGCCGCAGTCGTGGCAATAAGTAGTGGCACATGAAAGCCAGCCGTCGCAGTCGCGCAAACAATAGCAGTCATAGAGGTAGCAGACAAAATGGCAATACGCGTGGTAGTCGTAGTAGTTGTACCACTAGTACTGGCAAAATCATGCAATAGTAGCCGCAGTGGTAGAGGTAGTCGTAGTAGTAGTAGTAGTAGTAGTAGTAGTAGTAGTAGTAGTAGTATTAGTCGGAGTAGTAGTGGTAGAAGCAGTGGTAGTAGTAGTAGTAGTAGTAGTAGTAGTCGTAGTAGTAGTAGTAGTAGTAGTAGTAGTAGCAGTCGCATCAGCGGTATTAGTACTACTAGTGGTGGTAACAATGGTAGGACTAGTGGCACACGTAGTAGTACTAATAGTGTGGTAGTGGTGCTCGTAGTGCTGGTAATACGACTAATAATAGACGTAGTAGCTGTGGTAGTAACAAGAATAATACTCGCAATACGACTAGTAGTAGTAGTCGTCGTCGTCGTTAGAATAATGAATATAGTAGTGCTAGTAATCGCAGTGAATGTTAACGCACTGTGTAGCAATGGTGGTGGCAGTGGCGGTGGGGAAACCTGATAATACTGGAAGTAGTGGTCGCCGTGGTGGTCGGAGTTCGAAACAACACAATCGTAATAGTAGTGGTGGTCGAAGTCGTAGCAGCAATCGTAAGAATAGTAGTAGTAGTAGTTGTAGTTGTAGTGGTAGTAGTATTACTACTACTAATAGTAGTAGTGGTGGTAACATCGTAGTCGTAGCAGTAATAATGATGGTGGTAACATTTGTCGTACTCGTGGTAGTAGCAGTGGCGGTCGTACTCATGGTAGCTGGAGCGGTTGTTAGCGTCGTAGGAGTAGTGCTAATAGTAGTGCTGGTAGTAGTAGTGGTAGTAGTAGTCGTAATAGTAGTAGTAGCAGTAGTAGTCGTACGAATCGTATTAGTAGTAATGGGCGGCATGGGCGGTGAGGCCGGTCAGCAGCGGCAGGCGCACGC